TTTGTGGTATTTTGAAGACCTTATATTATGTGTGACGTCATAGTAAACATTTCCCGTACAAAATAGGCCCCGCCTCCTTACTGTAACCTTAACTCTGTGCTGCGTACCCTATCACCTCTGAAAAGATCAACCTAAACCACGTGTCTTGAATTTAAATAACAATAACATTAGTAGGGGTGAATGAGTGACCAGGTTAAAGTTTTTGGAGCAGGTTAAAGTTTTTGGAGCAGGTCCATTCCAAAGGAACAATAAGTCCTACCGGGACCAAATTTGCATGGATGTTGCATCTAGGAAATTAATTTGTAACATTATATTCAAATAGATATTATTTTGGGAAATCGCTTTGAATTAATATTTGCTTCACTGCTGTACATGAAACAGCCAGAGATGAACTGCTGTAGAAGTATTGAAACCGTAACACATGCTCATCCGATCATCCTGTATGTCTGCTGTTTGGATTCAGTTACAATGCTCGTTAACACAATCAATAATGAACAGTACATCAGTTTTGCACAAAATTAACAATAAAACATTAAGGGTCCTCCACACACCCACAGCTTGTGTTCTCATATTATCGAGCATTACTTTCAAGAAGCAGATCAACCTTTAAAAACATTCGAAAATTTGTGTTCAACGAATAATGAGGAAACCACAGTAGGTTTTAAATCGACCGAATGACTCAGGTGCGTTTCTCGTAAACTTTTTAAAATTTTAAGTTTATTATCTTCAATAACTGAACTAGTTTTTTTTTGTAATGCACAAAGTATTTTCATATCTACTTCTCTACCTATTGAGAAGATACATGGCTCTTAAGCCTCTTCATTCTGAATTATTATTTATTTTAATAATATTTAATCTATGTATCTATTACAACTAGAAAACTGACCAGTCAGCAAGGGTCCCGGGTAGAAATACAAGGGTGCAGCTCATTGAATGAGAGTTTTACTTGATTACATTAAAAAAAAATAGATGAAGATTTTATATAACAACTGTATACATGTATGTTTAAAATTTCAAGATTATTCCCGACTGTCCAAAACCTCATGTCTCATTAAAAAAATAAATTAAATATATATTTAAAAAAGTTGTTTTAAATGCAAGCCTTCAGTGAATGCAAATATCACCCAGGGTTGACCTCTTCTTCAAAACAAACATCAGTTACAGACAAAGGTGTTCATTAATCTTCATATGGCAGAGAGATAAGCCTCTACATTTTCTGCAGTGAGTGGAGATAATTAATCCCAGGGGATTAATTGCTCTAAACACTCTAATCCTTTTCTTCTAATTTTACAAAATTTACTTTTTTCCAAAAACTGACAAAATGGGGTTATTATATGATTACCTGTTAAAATTAACAGCATTAAGGCAGAAGAAAATAAAAGAAATAATTGAAAAAATAAACCAGAAGTCTCTGTCGAGACTGTAGCTCTACTGGTTTGTACTTATCAAAAACCATTGCACTATTTTATGTATCTTTGTGTAGTCTACTTGTGTGCCAACTTATTTTGAAATCAAACTAAAACTGTAGAAGGAGTAGCATTTTAAAGGAATTTCACAGAAAATTCTATTTTTAGAAACTATAGTAACACCGTTCATCGAAATCAAAAACCGATATACTATTCTATGTATCTTAGTGTAGTCTGCTTGTGTGCCAAGTTATATTGAAATCAGACCAAAACTGTAGAAGGAGTGGCGTTTTAAAGGAATTTCACAGAAAATTCTATTTTTAGTAACCATGGCAACACCGTTCATTGAAATAAAAAACCGATGCACTATTCTATGTATGTTAGTGTAGTCTACTTGTGTGCCAAGTTATATTGAAATCAGACCAAAATTGAGGAAGGAGTAGCGTTTTAAAGAAATTTCACAGAAAATTCTATTTATAGTAACCATGGCAACACCGTTCAGTTAATTCAAAAACCGATGCACTATTCTATGTATCTTAGTGTAGTCTACTTGTGTGCCAAGTTATCTTGAAATCAGACCAAAATTGTAGAAGGAGTAGCATTTTAAAGGAATTTCACAGAAAATTCTATTTTTAGTAACCATGGCAACACCGTTTATCGAAATCAAAAACCGATGCACTATTCTATGTATGTTCGTATAGTCTACTTGTGTGCCAAGTAATATTGAAATCAGACTAAAATTGTAGGAGGAGTAGCGTTTTTAAAAATTGTTTACAGACAGACAGACAGACAGACGGACGGACGCCGGACGCATTACTATCGCATAAGCTCTTCTGGTCTCTGACCAGTAGAGCTAAAAAAGTAATAATGGAAAGAAATATCTTAATATATATATATCTTCATCCTAGAATTCAATAAAATTATCATAAATCAAATAAAGTATAAACATTAAATAATTATTTTAAATCCATATTTCAGAGAATGAACACAATATTACACATCATTCAAAATTGACCTTAACTTCAAAACAAAGTTCATTTGCAGACAGAGGCAGTACAGGTATTAATCTCAATGTGACAGTTTAAGATAATGCTTAGGATTTTCTTCATGTGAAAGGTTAAATTAATCCCAAAGAAGAAATATTGCTCATCCTTCCAAGTATACGATGGTAATATTCTCAGCAGTTATCTCTCTTCGCCCATTCATTCTTATGCATAGTTAAGGAATCTACCCCACCACCCCAGCTCCAAACCAGAAGACATAGAGAACCAAACTTAGCATAAAAATATGTATTTCTGCCTACTGAACTACCATACCAAATTTGTACCTGATTGGGCAACCATAAAAAAGTTGGCCATTCATTCTTATGCTCAGTTAAGGAATCTACCCCACCACCCCAGCTCCAAACCAGAAGACATAGAGAACCAAACTTAGCATCAGAATATGTATTTCTACCTACTGAACTACCATACCAAATTTAAACTTGATTGGGCAACTATAAAAAAAGTTATTAGAAAAAAACAGAAAATTTGTGGACGGAAGAGTGACAGACGGACATACAGACGGACAGAGTGATTACTATAGGGCACCCGCAAATCCTTGCGGGGCCCTAATTATATACACATGTATAGGAAATGCCATTGTAGTACTATGGAACACAAATACTGCAGCTATATTTAGGTTTATAATTTTGGCTCAATTTTAATTAATTTTTAATAATGTCTACGAGGCTTTAAAAAAACTTAATAATTCATAAATAGATTGAAATTAAATCATACTTCTTCAGGGTTCAGTAGTGAACATTTTCGGAATCGCGTACACCTGACACCGTACTACGGACTGCGGACTATCGAACAAAAGACCGCTTTCAGGGAACGTATAGAAATACGTTTTCAGTCTTTCTTAACTTTTCTGTACATACTTTCATTTTTCTGGGATTTTATTTTCATGCATGTGACCAAATTTAAACATGGAAACAGATTTAAAATAAACATGGAAACAGATTTAAAAGAATTATTATTATTATAAGCTTAATTTGTGTTTATTGAGTAAATAAAATGTATATCTATATGTATATCAGATTATATGCACAAACGTGTAGGTATTGTACAAGCATCTGCAATATAGTGATGTGTATAAATCAAAGATTGTGTTGTCTACAGACAAGTCCTGTAACAATGTCTATAACAATGGGTAACTTCCTCCTCGGATGACGCCATATCCCACTCAGAATTTTATATTTCTTTAATTTTCCGATCGAGCGTTCGATGAGGGATCTATACATCGACACAAGTCTATTAAATTTCCGTCTTTTTCTTTGCTCTTGAGGATTCCTGTTAATTATTTGTTGATGGGAATATGGAGTGATGATTGAATACCTATTAAGATATATTTTGTCCCCTAAAATAAAACAATCTACTGGGAAAGGGAGCTCTGCCCCGATTTTATTTGACATTAAAGAATATTGTTGAGCATCATTTTGATGACCAAGGAAGCCGCTTTCTATGTGACGTATCAATCCGGAGTTGTCAATTATGACCTGTGCATGTAATGCATGATATTTCCTGTGACCAGAATAATACAATCGTTGTGGCTCAGTTCTTGGGCAATATATCTCTACTGAGGTACCGTCGATTGCACCGATTGCGCATGGTAATTTTGGCCACACGTGCATCATATTCCGCCATTCATCAATAGAAGGCCAGGTGATGAAGGATTTTGCAACAAGATGGAATACGTGCATTAACTGACTGATTTCCTCATGAATTGTTGTAATGCTTACATCAAGAAGTTGAGACAAGAAATAGTACGATGGGTAACATCTCAACCATATCATAAATAATATTGTACGGTTTCTCGGTGATAAACTATGTCCATTCATGTTTGCACCTAACACGTTAGTAATTTTTTGCATGAGGTCTAAAAATGTTTAAATACTTTCTCCTGTTATTTCAAAAAAAAAACCGTAAGGGTGTTCTTAGAAAATGCCAAAAACATTTCTTCCTTGCCATACACCTATTTCTCCATTACATTACCGATGTCGAGCATCTACCAATGGATCCGGTGGGGGCTTTGTGATCAACATCAGTATCGATATTAATTCTTTTATAAACAGAATATCAGGGGGACTTGAGGCAAAAGCTGGGATCGCTGTCGCCACAATATCTAATTCCATGTTTTCCTGCAATAATGAATATTATACAGTATTAATAAATATATATATTTAACGAAAACTATAAGGAAAAAAGGAGGAAAACCATTCTTAGTTTTTTGTTCTACAATGATTAAGACCAAAGAACCCAATATAGGAGTCGTATTTTATTTATCTTGATTATACATTTTTCCTAAATCATTTAACGTAAGATACATGCATACCTATCAATTATAAAATAATAAACTGACATGCTAACAATTTATTTTCTACGACCCCCCCCCCAAAAAAAAAACACAAACATACTCACCCTCACACACAGCCCAGCCCCCCCCCCATTGTTGAACTTATAAAAAGATGTGAATACACTTAACTCTGTTTTCTATTGATAGTCTCTTAAGAATATTTTGATTTCAACATTTTTAACATCAATTAATTTTTTTTGGATACAATTAGGTGTGCTTGTTCATATTATTATCAAGATAAAAGTACGTATTTGCAAAATGGTTTAATTTCTTGGATCTTTGTGTGGGGATGGGGTTCCTAACCATATTGTATGAAAATATGAGTGAAATAGTGTGTCTTTCATGGATTTTATATCATTGCAGTGTATGTCTTGTTTAATTTAATAGTCAGAAATTACGGAGTTTCCTTACGTGATAGTATACATGTATTAAACGTTACACCCCCAACACACTAATTACGTTTTATTTTGTTATTTTAATGGTTCTACAGATTCTTCTATATACTTCACCACTCCTTCTCTAAAACAAACATAGATCCGCACTTTCTCTTTTCCACCTTGGACATGCGCCTTTTTGTCTTGTTTATTGTGATATTTTTTTCATTGCGCTCACTTTGAACAGAGAGCACGGACTTTGTAAAAAAAAAATGGATGAGCTACCAGATATTCCAGATGGTAAGTTTTATAAAACTCTGTTTTCGCTTACGGTTTAAACTCAAAGAAGTATGATTCTCTATACATTATGCAATTCTTTATGTAATTATACCTGCCTGTTTAATAAATACATATGTACATATATATTTTTATTGGGGGGGGGGTATTTATTTATTTATATATGTGTGTGTGTTTTGTTTCTTGCGTTTTAAAAGAAGTTCAAATCTTTAAACTTGTGCAAAAAATGTAAACATTGGTTCATATTATTTACACATACTAAAGAAAAATACTCACACTGACGTCGCTTTCGCATTTTGATGTGATATTGGGAGTCAAAAGGCCCGTAACTCTTAGGTCTTATGCATTAAACATTTCGGGGGTGGGGTGGGGTTAAAATCACTTTATATCAACTTCTGTACCAAATGTCCTCAATTTTGTTTAAAAAAAATAAAATTGAATGGAAATTAATTTGAGATATTTATAATACACTCACACACGCTTAGAAATAGAACGCTTTGATAAAAACAAGATTCCTTGATTAGTTTTGGATTAATACGAATCGTTTTCTAAAATGCTTCTTTTTATTCATTTTAGTCCAACTGGTTAAATAAAAGAGGGTGCATTTTTTAATACGTGTTTTTTTCTGTAAATAAATATCTAGTGATCTTAGTCGAACCCCCCTCCCACCCCACACACATGCATACGCACCATATTCAGGTGATATTCACTGTCTACCTTAATATAATTTAAAAACTTATGAATTTTTCTCATTTTTTTAATGATATTTTTGTATTACAGAATATTGTGAACATCAAGCTTTTGTCAAAAGAAAGCGTGTTATAAAGTTCTGCGACCAGGAGATCATACTAATGCTGAGGAGCTACCAGGTACATCCATGTGCCTGGATTCAAATTCGTAAATCTATGCTTGAAAATATCCACCAACTCCCATCTGAAACTCAAAATATGTACAAATCATCATCAGTAAAACAAATTAAAGACAGGCTGTCTGCAAAACTTTCAAAACTGCTTTCTATGTCAGATGGCGACATAGAAAATATAACAATAAGGTGAGACACTTGCATACATGTATACCAGTACCTTATAGTTAATTAAAATATAAAATTGAGAAACATTATTCAATAAAAACGCGTGAATACTGAGTGATAAAAAACAATGAAATAAATAAAAGACAACAGAATAATATTAAGATTTTTTTTCAGGAATGAGTTAAAAAAGGTTAGAAGTATCGAAATGAAGCTAGCACGACCTACATGCTATCAAGGGAAACAGGCGGGATCACTGGATCCGAGATCACAAATTACAGGAGAGTTGTCGTCCGACGAAGATGAGACACTGTCTGCAGGTCCATCCAAGTCTGTACCTTGTACTTCTAAATCAGCCAGTGCGAATGCCCAATCTGCGTCTGCACCTGTCCCCTCTAGTCCTGGTCCTTCAGCATCTTTCCGATCTATACCTGTGTCTTCTGCTGGTTCTTCCAACTCGACAATCTACTCCAATGTCTTGCCCTGCTTCTCTTCCATCTAGCTCTTCCTCCAACCATCCACCATCCAAGTCTTCAACCAAGACCAAAGCTAGCAAAAGGCCACTTCTTAGTGTAATGCGTGAAAATCAGGAAGCTTACAATAAGTTCATTACCACAAAAATACCAAAACTTCTCAAGGCCCTTGGTGTTAGCTCAGATGAGACAGAATCTGATTGATTAAAATAAAATATATTTAACCTTTATCTTGGTCATTACATGAGAATAAAAGTAAAAGAGCTTTGTTCGCCTTAACTTGATTAAACCTCACAAATGTCTCTCATTTAAATAATTACGATTTTCAATTATGAATGAGTTAAATAACTTTTTAGTTACATACTCATTATCAATTGAAAATAGAATTCTGTGAAAGACATAATCATTAATTTTTCATTTTAGTCATATTTTTAAGTTAAGTTATTGAGAAGTTTCGAAAATAAACATAATATTTTTGGATTTAGATAAACAATTAGCAGTATGCATGTTTATCTAAAAATATTGTTCAGAAGACTTAAATACTCTACTGTAGGTTTGCAAGAGGTTTCATAAAAATAAAATTATATAAACTTAATCGAACATATAGTAGAATTGCGATTATCAATTTTAAAAAGAAATGCAATACGTAGTTCTTAGTACAGTGTATATTCTTTTCTTTAAGTTACGCTTTTGACATGTTCCCTCACCTGTAAAGTCCGTAGTACGTTGTCAGGTGTACGCGATTCCGAAAATGTTCAGTGGCTGGACAATGGTTACTGTACGTCCTGGTGAATGTAACATAGATGATTTTATATCTTCCACCCATGAGTCCTCCAATTCCCTGCACCTGTCGCATGCAATATTTTACAATGCTTAAATAAAAACAAATCCAAAGTTTTCTCAGACGTCCGCGCTTGGTCCTTTTCTTTATACTTGCTTCTTTTTACATTTCAATAAACTCCAACGACAAATTAGATAAATTTTATATAATTGACAAACCAACAGGTAGAGGGTATGAAAGAGAGTTTTGCAATTCTTTTGTCATTTTCCCTACATGTGTAGCAGATCAAATGCAAAAATATATAAAGCTCAAGGAGGAACAATATTTGGAGGATGTGTATTGACTTCCAAATTTGTCATTTAAACATGTGAAAATTAGTCTCACGGCAAAATACGTGTATATCAGACTTTCCGCATTTTTAAATGGGGAATCCCCATTGTTCTGCCTCCATGAAACAAAATAAATTTGATATATGCCCAAAGAGTCATGAATTTACATTTCTTCAAAACTGCCATTTCCGATATTTTTGTGTCAAAGAGGCACATTTTTGAAAAGCGCAAAAATTGAATAAAATTTTATTCTCCAAATGAAATGCAAAATGTGTACATTAAATAACACTAGAGAACCATCGTGTCCGAAATGGTCTGATGGATATGCTGCTGGGCTTTAAAATAGTACACTTTACTAAAGAATGGGCTCGAATCCTGGAATTAATCATTTTTGCATATGTTTTACCTTATCTTTTCCTAACAATGTAATTGTTGTATATTGAAATTACATATAATATTACATTTTGAGAGAGAGAGAGAGAGAGGTATCAAGAAGTTGATTGAGTAATTATTATTTACTGTATTAGAAATGCAGGGTTAGATTGTTTTCCTTGATAATCTGTTATTTAAAACTATTGTTTTATTTATCTTTTTTTGAAAATAAAGTTACCATATTGTTTAAAGAAATATTTTATATGCCGTAGTTATCACAATTTTGAATAATTTAATTTTGCTTGTATTCTAGCGTCTGCCTTTGCGGATTATAAAGTGTAAACTGACCGAAACTAGATTAAACTCGATAATTTGGCCAAGAATTAGAGTCATTCCTTAATTAATTCTGGTCTCTTAGTAAGTAGCCAAGATTTGTTATGAAACAAATCAAATGTCCTAAGTGAGCTCCAACAGTGTGATTATGGGACGCAATTTTTTCACAATTTTATTTGCAATTAATTGGATATACACTGTATATACACTGTATGTCAACTAATTCCTCTTTTTCTGACGAAATTTGACTGTAATTCTCTGAATTGGAGAGGAAGGCATTTCATGGCCCAATCCGTTATAAGAAGTCCTGGTTTAAGTCGCTCAAGTCTCTGGATTGCCGTGCATTTGACTAATCCATCGTCTCTTCTCCAAGATAGAACCCTTGATATGCACTTCCACCAGCCATTGTCCAGGGATGTGATTTTTCCGCGGAAACGCGGATTTCCGCGAATTTGAAAGTCAATCAGATCATTTTTGAGATCAATACAAATCAAATGAGAAAATGTGGGGGTGGGGGGGTAGAGGTACTAAATTTTTCATAACATCTTCATTTTGATTGATATTGGTAATTATCATATTAGTAAAAATGTTGATGATGTATTAAATAAAATATCAACAGCAAACTATGAATGTTAACTTATATCGATTTTCTTGTGTGTTAACGAATGGGATCTCTAGTTTTACCAAAGTCAGGTGTAGATAACTTGTGTCGGTCTTTTAAACGTTTTACGAGAAGTTAATTATTGGAAGGTTTAAAGCGCATTATTGAATAGGAGTGGATGAATACGATGGAGAACATGGACAGAAGTGGAGATGTGTCCAGTATTGACAAATTTCGGTGGGGCTGGTTGGAATTATGTGTACAAATTAAATGCAGTAATGGAAATTTCCGAAGAGTGCCGATATCCGAATGGATTATTAAGATTAATTCCCCAGGAAAGGCAAAGTGTAAATTGTGTAATAAAATCCTATCATACGGCTCGAAGGGAAAGAGTGCATTGCTTGAACATTGTAACTCTGAGAGTCACATGAAATGTGCGAGGAATGTTATAACGAACTTCACGCTTCCAGGAGTTCAAAATTTAACGAAATCTTCAGACACAAAACTACTACCTCAAGCTATCCTCTTACCAGATAAAGTGGCCAATGCAGAGGTGAGCAAATTGAAAATAATAAATATTGTGCTTACTAGTGCAGAGAGACATGCTTCTTCAGGAGAAGGGGAGCTGCATGTGACATTAAAATCCCCATATCATAATTTTGTTACAGTATTTTAATGTTATGTAAATATCCCGTGTGGAACCACTTTGTTTTTAGACATATTTTCACTGTAAATTTCCTGTAGGGAACCTCAGTTCACAGATGGTTTCAGATACCATATACTATGAAGGAGACGGTCAACAAGGAGTGAGGGACATGCTGAGTATGAATATTATTGAACCCTCGGAATCTCCATATTGTTCACCCATTGTAATTGTGCCCAAGAAAGATGGAACAAATAGGTTTTGTATAGATTTTCGTCTGTTGAACAATTAAACTATATTTGATTCTGAACCAATGCCTGAAACTGACGAAATGTTTTCCAAACGTGCGGGTCATAAATTATTTTCAAAGATTGGTCTCTCAAAAGGTTATTAGCAGGTAAAATTAACAGATGAATCAAAACCAAAAACAGCTTTCAAAACGGGGAAAGGTTTGTTCCAGTTTAAGGTAATGCCCTTCGGGTTGGTTACGGCTTCCGCCACTTTCTCAAGGTTGATGCGCAAGGTATGGCATGGTATGGGGAACGTAGACAATTTTATAGATGGCATTTTGGTCTACACAAGGTCATTAGAGCATCATTTTGTTGTACTGGATGAACTTTTTCAGCGATTACGTCAGAATATTGTTCCTTTCAAATCGATGATGATGCACTATTCGATCAATTAATGACAAGTAATTAGCTAAATATAATTTGTTAAATCCATGTATTTTTTTTTTTTAATCTCGCAATTCTAATGGCATTGCACTTTGAATCCTATCAGGTATTTCTTCATTACGTCAAAAGACAAGTGACGCATCTCATGAATATTTCTGAGATTACGTCAAAATTGATCATGTGACCATATTCCTAAACAACGCAAGATGGAGTTTTCCTTCCTAAACAAGTACATTATTTTACGGAATCTTTCATTCTCATTTAAAAAACTGTGTTTACAAAACAGTTAAAAGGAAGTTTTTTTAAACCCAATTTTTCACAAGGAACACGAATTTGTGGCTTATTTTTCGATTTTGTCGATCGCTCACGCGATCGTATATGTATTGTACGCCGCCTTCGGCGGCACCTATTTTAGCGCCATATTTACAGGGACAGGTATACTAGAAGTGTTCCATGATTTCTGGTACACGAGGGTTCTGGCATAAGGAACAAGGGACTTCATGTTGATTCCTCTGTTTGTAGTAGCTGGATACAAGAGGAGTGGTGAAATGTTGACGAGCTGGTACACTATGCGGTACATCATAACAGCTTTTGCTTGACCAGGTCGCTCCCGAAGAGATGTCCATCTCAGCTGTCGTAGCATGTCTGTTACGCTGCTAGTTGTCCTGTTGTAAGATGTTACCATACGGGAAGGTCGTCTTTGGACCATCTCCAATTTGCCAAACTGTCTTTAGTGTAAGGATCCCAGATGGTACTCCCATAATCAAAGATATGCCTCAGTAAGGTCTAATAACATAGGGCCTTCGTTTCTGATGGACACTGATGTAAAGTCCCTAACAAAAAATACTATATACATGTAGTTAACTATAGTGATAACTTTGACACTTTGAAAAACTTTGGTGAAAACTTTGACACTTTGAAAAATTTTGGCGAAAAACTTTGGTGAAAACTTTGACACTTTGCAAAAACTTGGGCGAAAACTTTGACACTTTGAACAACTTTGGCGAAAACTTTGACACTTTGAAAAACTTGTTTAGTTTCCTTTATTTTAATTAAATGTTTAAATTGGTCTTTACTCAACAGCAAATGAATGAAAGTGTATTGATATATGATTCTAAAATACTTCTCTTTCTGCATATTTTCACAAACATGTAAGTGGTGGACATTATTGCAGAGAAGAGAGCTATACCCTCTTTAGCGGAAGTTCAGGGTCCCCATCTTTATCTGTGAGATAAATTACAATTATCTCACATTGCTTCATGTCCATGGAGATCCGTTTTTTTAACGCTTGTAGAA